TATATATACATACATACATACATGTATGTACTGTATGTATGTGTGTGTATATATATATATGACTGAGTTCTTTTTCTTTTTCAGTCTCTGTAGCAGACCACACTGAATGCTGGTTATAGATTGCTCTTTTATTGCAAGAAATAAATCTGACAAAGACAGATGTGTCTTTGACCTTTATTCACACTCCTCACCAGTGAACTGGACTATTAGGACACCACCTTTTTTTTCCCACAACAAAGTTCTGTATTCAAAATGTTACTTCAATCTACAATATTTAACCTTTTTTCCAAATATTTTTGTTGTAGAAATCTGCTCCAGACCTTGTCTTAATGTGGAGAGGTGCTTTCGAAGCCTCCTGTGACCCAGACTCATTGAACATTATTAGCTTCTGAAAGGTTTTGAGCAGGATTGGCCTCTATACCAATCAGAGATTTTTTGTCATTTCAGTCTGACCGGTATATATTATTGGATTATAATTACTGATCCGTTTGTTCATTACTGTAATGTTGCCAATGGTATATTTGCACTGTTGTGTGGTGAAAGTGCAACAGAGACACTGCTGATCAGGTGTTGGAGCTCAAACTTTTGGCACCTTCACATATACCTGACAGATAAAAATGATGTGTAATGAAATAATGCAGCCTACTTTGCTTAGCACTGATTGATCTGCAGTTACTCCAACCTGCATCTTGAGGAGCAGGCTGCCTGCAGGTAAGCATAGACACAAATATGCACCTGACTTATAAAAGGTTTATAGCTGCATCTGGGGAGGACAGGAATGAAGTAAAGGATGAGTATGTTGTCTGCTCCTTGGTCCTGTCTTCTGTCAGACATGTGCAGGGTGTGTGTTGCAGGAGGTCTGAACTGGGACTGAGAAAATTAAATATTTTAAATATAACTATGATTGATGATGAAAGGGCATTTTAATAAGCTATATATTTGGCCAGTGCATTAAATTATATTAAGAAGGCTACATAGGCCTGTTTTATTATATTAATTAGAACCTTTTTAATGTTTTCTTAGTTAAAATGTGTTTACATTTTAAAGACAGCCAGACTGTCATCATTGGTTTGTACGCATGATCTGAGGCAGTTCTAAATTTGTTTGCAGAGTACGAACAAATTTAGGTAAGAAAATATTAATAAACCCTGGATTTGTATGTAAATTGTGCTTATGTACAGTTTAAGCACAGGTTTGTGCGTTTGTGCTGAATGAGACCTGTTGGCTTGCAAGGTTACTGTAATGTGTCAGAGGACATGCAGGGAGAATAAACCAATTTATTTTGCCCCTTGTAGGTTTCAATAGTTATCGTATATTCACTTCAACTAGGCTATTCATTGCTAATCCACACCTTATACTCCGATGTTTTTATAGTTGGTCCCTACAGACTTCATCTATGTACATTTTCCATGGTCCACTACTAATGTTCAGTCTGCAGGTTGCATTGAATCTGTGCACACAATAAGCCTTAGATTACCCATAACATTTGAGAATATAAGAACTATAATAAGAGTGGTCAAAGGGCAAACACATCATTGTAAGATGACACTGTTCACACCCCTGTAGATATGAGATCAGTTTTCATTTACACATTAGCCACACTACATATATTGAGTGAAAATATATTTATTTTCTTACAGAATTAGCAACATACACAATTTTTCTTCTTCACCCCTCCCAAGATGTACATAATAAATATTACCTGGACACGGTGCTTTTTCCCTGATTGTCTAAGAAACCACCAAATAAGCCACACTTAATGTCATCTCTTGTTACACTTTATATTCCATTGCACAAAAATCAGGAATGACAATTGTAACATCTCCTTATTGGGAATTGAGGGGAAGTGCTGGTTCACAAGATAAGCAGGAATTACGTTTGTGTAGTAATTATACAGGCATAATTGTGTAGATCCTGTTAGATTTCAAAAAAATCTAACAGCAACATAAAAAAGAAGAGGAAAGGGATACATTTAGAAACTAAGACTCAAAGTTAAAGCTCACAATTTCAAATCTCCCAGTATTAAAATGTACAACTATAAATGTTATAGCATTAGCACTTAAAAAAAAACAGCAGGTTGAAAAAATGGCCTACTTCTTTTGTTTGTTCAGCCACTTTAATATCAGAGTAAAAAAGAATGGAGGACCTCAGCCTGAAATGAAGAAGTGTTCCCAGAAACCCTGTCATGTCCAAATGGCTGAGCTGTGACACTGCCACTTTGTCCCAATCCTTCTCAACCCGTTTTAACGCAATAAAGGTCCTTTAATGTTTTGAGTTCTTCAATCAGGGTCTTGTTTTGGTTCTCAAGAACAGCTACACGGTTTTCCAGGCATTTAACATATTCCTTTTTCTTCCGTCGACATTCACGGGCTGCCTCTCTAAAACCACAAAAAAACAAACAAACTCTGCAGTTAGTTCTATAAATCACAATGTAAAGTCACTACTGCAACATAAAACTGTAAATACTTTTACTTATTCCACACTGCATGCAAGTAACAAACATACTTAAGTATACTTAAAAATTAATTGGGAAAAATATACCTGTTTAAGGGCATTGCAAAATTCCAGTAATGGAGGCACTGTATCACCTACCAACCTTTTTTTTTTTTTTTTTAACAGTGCTTTAGTATGTTTCTCCTGTACAAGTACTGTGAATTGTTCAGCACTACAGAGGTCAGCAAGGGGCCATTTTTCCTATTCTAACAAGTTAATTATGACCTGTCAACCAAACAGAAAAGGCAATGCCCAGTGTTCTATATTTGGATTTACAACAAATTAAATAATTAAAATCAGGAAATAAAAATGATACAATTATTTGTTATTTTACCAAGTGGGGGGCACAACCCATTCATTTTACATACTTCTGATGTAGATTTTATATGCTTACCTATTTTTTGCAAGCCTGATTTCTCTCTTCATTGTTGGATCATCACTCTTACCCTGAGAAAGTCCCACAGAAGAAGACATGACTACGGTTTGAGGCAGAGAGCTGGACGTGGGTGCTGTGCGGATCTGGTATGTCTGCACCTCTCCTCCTGCACCTGAGAGAAACAAATCAAAGGCTGACAACAGGAGTCCCAACAGGCATCATTAGAGAGCTCTTCCCTGTAAAGGTTTGAAAGTACTTTGTTGTTTGTTGACCATTATGACATATAATGTTGGAACCCATTAAAAGAATACATTCACTTGCATGTACTATATTATTAGCCAGTGCATGTTCGTTTGTTGCAAATGAAGCTGAGCCAGGATTAACTTTTTGTGAGACCACTCTGTTTTCTTGTCAGAGTCCTTTGTAGCAGCACTCCCTGTCATTACAAATAAATGAGCAGCTTTTTAAAATGCAATGCTACTGTCTGTACAAAAGCTTAACATATTTTTGGCATCTGCCACCACCAGCCTACTTGGCCACCTGCTAGAATCCCCTGACCTCATCAGCAGATAACACTGGCTTTAAAAATTTGGCTAAATTTCAATAAAACTGCAAATCTGAAAAACTTGGAATGGTGAAAATACACTTTTTGCAATTAAGACATGTTGACATCACACAGTATGAAAAGCACAGGTGTAAAAAATGAGATGTATGATAAATACAAGAGAGCTGTCGTTAATGTCACACCCATTATAATCTGAACCTACCAACCTCAGTAACAAATCATAAAAAGTTTGGGCTGTATGTAATATCAAAATTAAAACTGAAAATAGTGATATATAAATTATCTGTGTCCTGTAGCACATTGAAAACAGTACAGCAGCAAATTATTTGAAATGATACCTCATCAATTTTATTCTTTGTTCAAAATAAACACTCATTTCAAAAAAGTTAGGACGATTGCATTTCAGGGCCAGTGAAATGATGATTCCATACAGGACACAGATGATGTATAAATCATCATTTTCAGTTTTAGTGATTTCACATAGTATCCCAACTTTTTCTGATTTGCGTTTGCAGAATATGCCGCATTTTCTTCACCTTGTACAACAACCTGGTTGCTAGGCACCAGTATTTGCTGTCCGTCAGGTGTCTGGGCATACTGAAGGATGGTGGTGCTTGGCTGGGCTCCGCCAGAACTGGCCATGGTGACTGCCTGTAGTCCCTGAATGGCTTCAGACCCCGGAGTCGCCAGTTGGATTGCGCCATTAGGTGCTATGGTAACTAGACAAACCACACAATTGGTGTTAGAATTAAGCAAAGCACAAGTAAAATTGCATTCCAGCTGGCTAGGTTACTGTTCTAGGTACAGCAGAGTGCTTTTTTATTTTATTTTATTTTTTTAAGAGTCTGAAAGATCACACAGACTTTACAACAATTTGACCCATTAGTCAGTGTAGCCAGTAGCTGGCAGAAAGTGTGGTCTGGTAGACAGCTCTAAATGGTGAGCATACCAACACAAAAGTAGACAGTAAAGTAATCACACATAACAGTCGCAAATTTCTCCCTACAGAAATCCAAGCAAAGCAGAAATGTCCAGCACAACTTAGTGCGTAGATGAGGGAAAAAATAAACCGTAAAGATAAAATATCTAGCAACACTTGCAGTGTACAGTCAACTTTAAAGTAGATCTATACACTGCAAGTGTTGATAGATATTTTATCTTCACTTACTGAAATCCAAAATGGGTCCTTATCAACTCTGTGGCCTATAGATACATAACATCTGAAAAACTCTCTTTTTTAAGAAATTACATTAAAAGGAAAAGTTCATACTGTACTGGCCGCTGTTGGTCTGGTAGATTTGGGTGGTGGGTACTGTAACACCTGTCACTCCAGTGGACGCCGGGCTGCTATCCTTTCCCTCAGTGTGTGCCATTTCTTCAGATGACAGCTCATTTAGGATTTTTCTTCAAGGAAATAAGAGGAAAGTTCCTTAAATTACTATTCATTAAACAAGAGTTTCTGTTTAGTGGGTTTTTTTTCTTTACCTGTACGAAGGCCGTCTTGCCAGTATTTCTCTGGTCTTTTGGGCTGCTACTCCACTGTCTGATGAGTCTTGTGAATCTTCACTGTCTGTACCTTGGGCCTGCAAAGTGGGAGGTAGATTAAAAAGTTCATATTTTTAGTTGTATATTTTGCCAAGTTGACTGTTTCCAAAAATAAAATAATGAGATTAATTAAACACTGGCCATGACTTGGGTGCATTAACAGCTGTGCAAACAAAAGCTGTCAGTGCAAAGCTGGTCTCACCTGTGCAGTCTGCACCTGAGGAGACTGAATGACTGATGGCTGTGCAGACTGGATCACTCCTTGAACCTGAAACTGACCCCCTGGCAGTTGTAGAACAGCAACAGAAGAACCACCCAGTGACATCTGCAAATACCCAAACACACTTTTAAATTAACAAAATACTGCATATTTACTGTGGTATTTGCATTCCATGTCTGCAGAAGAGAGTTGAGAAGCATAGAGACTTTCTATGGATTTTAAAAATTTAATTTCAGCAACATTACAAAATACATATTCTAACTTACACCTAGTAGCATCAGGCCCTGGTTTTGATGTGCTTAGAACTGACTAATGACATTTTGCTGCCACTCTAATACAATGAAAGTGAATGGAATTTAGCTTGTGTTCCCCAGAGACTTGAAAAGATTGATTTGAAAGCTCAGCATTAATGTGCCTTTCCAGAGACCATGCCTTGATTACTCTGCATAATCTACAGACCTTATTATGAAAATCCTGAGTTACTGGACATAATTTTTTTTGCAAAAACAAGCTGTTATTGAATTTTCCATGTATCATTTTTAATACTTTGAGCACCATGAGCATAGTCTAATGCAATGAGCCATTGGCTGAAATCTTCAAGATGAATATCTTATAAAATCACAACTATCTGTATAACTACAGAGCACAAGGAATACATGGAAATGTTAAATTTGCTGCAGAGCACCTTTAACGTCAGTGTTTAGAATTAGGAATTAGTTAATTTTAGAATTAACTAACGGTGTGTGTGTGTATTGCTGCATATAAACTATATTAATACGCCAATCTCAAGACATTAAATTGTGCTTTCTGGCAGGATTATATTAGCTGTGCAAGCGCTAGTGGCACTTATATGACAGCATTTATGATATACTTCCTAGCGGTATTTTGTAACGGCTCTATTAGTTACCTGTTGTGCTATCTGTGAGAACTGAGAGGATGTGATGGTAGTGGGAATGGTAGCAGTCTGTGACTCTGTGGCATTGCTGCCCTGCTGTACTTCCTCCATAGTAACTGGGAACAAATAAATCAATATTACCGTTTTACAGTGGCTCTTATGGAACACAACAGCGGCATGTGGTGGGGTTGCCTGTCTGCAATATACTGCCGCTGTGGCCTTTGTGCGCTTGTTCTACAATGTATGCCGAGATATAACTTTTCACGTCCAGCGTGTAACAGATCAGAGGAACAGTGAATCGCAGTTTTAATTTTAGCTAGCTAGGCATTTCTTCAGAAGTTTTACGAGGGAGCTCAAGCTAACTAAAACACACGACTTCCTCTTCGGTTCAGTCTTGTTAGCCAATGCAACTAATGTTAACATGGAGTTACGACACATACATAGGCCCGACAGTAAATAGGGGTTAACTCTTTTCCCTTATAATTTAAATACTACATTTCACAAAGTAGCCGACTTCATCACAAGCAAAAGTGATAGCTGGTTTGTAAAGTTAACTTATCGTCACGGCCATTACTGCTAGAATATTCGATCTCACCAACACTACCTTTGCTAATTAATAGTAGCTAACACTAGGTTAAACGGATGTTAAACTGTTGAAACAATTAAAACAACCATTTTCAAGCTACGGGCCAGACAAGTTTCGCTATTCTGGTTCGCAGAATGGATGAGCTTTTCTCTATGAGCAAATATGTGTGTCTCTGTCACTGTCACGCAAGTTACCGCGTCAATAGACGTCAGCGATACGGGGAGCCATTAAGCTAACTACACCTTCCCTTTTTGTAAAACGGCGAGGAGTTGACGAAGCAACAGCCGCCATTACCGCCACACGGAGCAGACAGTCAGACGAGTACAAAATTACCG